ACTGCTGGTCTTAGCCTCTGGTCATTTATGAACGTTCCATTGGTACTATCCAAATCTGTGAACAGAAGATTCCCTTCTTTCTTCTGAATCCGGGCATGAATTCCCAACACTGTAAAAGTCAGATACATGCATGATTTGATATCAGATAAATTAGTATGATAAAAATAATCTGTTCTTAAATCCTTTAGGTTTAAGAGCATGAGAAAATGGTTTTTTTTTTTTTTTTTCCGTTTTCTTTTGAGTTTTACCCTGTTTTTTGAAAGTTCCGAATACCTGTTGCGACTGGAATCACCACATCTGCCTTATCAGGAAGACGCCCAACAGTCAAATCACTCTACAAATGTCCAACACAATTGACAATTGATGTTATTTAAGTTCATAGCTTGAAGATCAATAGAATAGGATATTGATATGGCAACAGAATTTTTACTTACTGAAGCAATTTCAAAGGCATCCGGCATTGGACCCTTAAAACCAATCTGCCTTGAATCTCCACCACCTAGTTCATGAATGCATCTAGTTGTTTCTCATTTCTCTGTGTTTTCAAATAAATGAAAAGAGTTAATATTCATAAGATAAATTTTGCAAATGTACGAAAAACATAATTTTTGATTGAGAATAAATTTTTTTTTAATAGTTGATATTTATAAAAAGAAGTATTTAGATAAATTACGTTTCAAAAAGATTAAACATAGCCATTAATTAAAAAAATAAAAAATTATGTTTTTTAAATTAAAAATGTAATGTTTAGTTGACAAACACTAAAAAAATACATTTTTAAAATTATAAATGTAGTTTTTGGTTTTGCATGATGTGTTTACGGAAAGGAGAGACCACTTTTAGTGGGTCAAGATACCCATGAAAATGAGGAAGCACATGTGAATAACATCCAATAAAATGATTTGGATATGATTAATAGGAGTAAGTGAACTATACACCATTCCAATTTTTAAATTTTTTTGTCATTTAGGTTATATAAATTTTACAAATATTTATATAAATTTTTATCTTAATTTTTTAAAACTTATATTTATTTATAATTAAGTTATAATTTTTATTAAAAATTAAATATATTTATAATTATTTATATATTATCATTTATTAAAACTTGATATAAAAATTTTATTTTTTTATATTTAAAGTATAATTTAAAAATAAATAAAAAATACTCATAGCAAAGTATAGATATAATTTTAGTCCATTCATTCATACATATATATATTTTTTGTTTCAAAATGTAATTGATAATAAATAAAAAATTAAATTAAAAAATTATTTAAACTAAAATTTCTATGTCAGAAAGTAGCGTTTCAACTACAAAAATTGTTTTTCTTATATAAAAAACATGGCCTTTATAGAAACCATCGGTTGTAAAAAAAAAGAAGATTTGATGCACAAAGATCACGATCTTTTCACAAGAAACGTAATTTTTTAAGAAATAAAGGTTGTTAATTGAAAAATAAATAAATAAAAGTTCTTGACAAAATAAAAATAAAAATAAAAATAAAAAATTTGGTGCGATTCGTTACTTACTTTCAGCTCGATGCCAGTCTCTCTTTTTCTTCACTCCATTTCCTACTCCCTCTTTTTTTATTTTTACTCTCTTTTTTCTTCTCTTGCCCATTGTCTAATCTTTCAACCCTCGACTGGCATACTCACTACCTCCAACAGTCCCTCCATTTCACTCACCAACAACATCACAAACCGCCTCTACCCTCATTTTACTCCCCCAACCGAAAACCCCCTTTGAACCACCAGTCACCAGCTCAGATAACTGAAACCATCACACGACTTCTCCCACGGCTTGCTGTTCGTACCAGCCCCAGCATCCCTTGCCAACCTCCACCACGTTCATCATTCACCGTTGAAGCACCAGCCTTGAATTAGACACCTAAACGAAAATAAAAAAAATGCTCTGCTTCCTTTTTTACAACAATTGAAACAAGAAAATACAAAAAATAAGGTAATAGCTACACTCTTCACTGTTGGTGAGGAAACCACAGCCAGAACAATATAATAAAAAGAAACAGTGACAAAAATGGAAGAGAATGAGGCTTTTCCCGTAGGATTCTTTTTAGTTTTTCAGAGAGAAGGAAAGGGGAGGAGTTCACGGTGGACGGGGTTGGATAAACAGTGGACAGAGGGCGACGGCGCTAGTGGCAGTAAACGGTCATTCATGGCAGCGAATGGGCTTGTGGAAATCCAAACCAATGCAAAGGAAGAGCATAACGAGGGGAACAACATACTAAAATTTGGGGTTATTTGGAGTGGTGGAGAATGGTGAAAAAAGGGTTATTTGGGTAGGGTTTTTATACTTCCTCTTTTTTCCTTCCGAAATCCATTAGTTTCGTTTGATTTATCTTTCTTTTCTGTTTTGTTTGTTTTTTCAAATTCTGGAAACTGCATTTCAGAAGGAAACTGTTTGTTTGGTTACAAGAGAGCAATATGTCAACAAGGTAATTTACTCTCTTAATTGTTTATTTCATTGTGTTTATACTTATTAAAATAAAATGCCTAAAGCGAATGTAAATGGAAATGATTGTCTGTTGCAAATGGCAATGATTGCTTACTGTAAATGAAAATGATTGCTTGAATCTTTTCTCCTTGCCCTTTGGTGACTATTTCACAGATGGGATATTCAGTCCGTAATCATGGAGGACCTGGGTTTTTCTCTTGCAGATGTAACACCGTATGCTAAGTACATAGATTCTGGATTGTCCATTTTTCTTACTTACGTGGGTTCATTTTTCTTACCTATTTTGAAATTTTAACAACTAACTTTTCTGTGCGGTATTTACTTTTTGGTTCAATGTTAAATATTAGATCGATTCTAGGTGTATTAGCAAGTGGGAAGACAACAGATCTCCTCGGTCGTAAATGTGTAAACTTCTACATGACTATTGAACTGAACAAAAACCTCTAAGCCATTTATTGAATTTTGGTTGGAAAATCATGTCCAATTCCTCAATGTCTTGAATCATACTATGTGGGTTTTGAACTTATTCTACATTGTGGGATGGCTTGCAATAGCATTTGCAAAGGTCTCTCATGTCTTCGTTCTCTGTCTACTTTTCCTTTATGTCGTGTGCTCTTTTCCTTTGCCAAGAAGATAACATCTTGCAGATCTTAACTGAACTAGAACCTGTGGTTTTCTATAGTTGACTCAATTGATTTTTATTGCTTAATGTTGAATTTTCATGTGTTGAAAAGGTTCTGTGGGTGCTTGATGTAGGAAGGTTATTGCTGTACCTGTATATGTTGCAGACATAACACCTATTATTTCTTTTGCTACATTTAATTGTATCTGTGTATGTTGAATTGTTAATCATTTAACATTGTATTAGTTTTGAGGTTAATAAATTTGTGATTAACGAAATTTGTTATGAATACTTGAGTAGAATTTGCTGATTTAGTTTGAAGTAATTTCGAAATCAAAATAAAGTTAGTCAAATGCTGTCAAATTCTCAAGGAAACTAATCTAGCGCAAATGTCGCACCTTATGCTATTGAAGATGGAAATGGAAAGATCAATGAGGAAAGATAGTTTTAATTTCTTTAACTCCTTTTGAGATTTTTGCTTTTATTATTAAAACTTATACTAATATGTAATTTTCTTATTTGTGCCTTTATATCATTTTATAGGTGATATGGGATACAATTGAATCCTTAATTTATGGGTATTGATCTGTGAATTTTCTCTGCATTTTTTTTGCTTTATAGGACTACAACTTTTGTCATTGTTTTGCAAAAATAAATTGATTATTTGCATGATGTGGTCTCAGTTGTTTGGTCTCTTTATGACTAATCAATAACAGAAAAATTTTTTGTTTGAATCTCCAAACTCTTAGCATTATAAATTCATAACATTATTATTATTTCAAAATAATTATGTGTAAATTATATTTTTATTATTTCTCTTGCAGCGAAGCGCCGGCATTTAACTAGTAATTATATAATTGAAGGAAGAAAAAACACTGATCCGCGGGTTCAAGAACCCATCTATCAGAAAAATCTGTTGAATTACTTTCACTCTAAGAAGCATTAATAACCTCAAAACTTCTTTGTTTCCTTGATTTGGTTCTATCAAACTTTAGCTTAGTAACATAGTTCTTAGAGGACTGAAAAGGGATTACAAATTTGATGCTGCAAGAGAGGCCTTTGAATGAAGGGAGGGAGGTGAAAGAGAGGTAGAGCAGCTTTGGAGCTTTGCTTGGGACAAAGATTGTGTAGTCACCTCCATTTCTGCGAGAGAATTACTTGGAGTTATCCGATTCTGATTACATACAAGTTTAAAGTCGAGTAGAGTTTAGTTCTATTGGATCGTGTGGATGCTAGTAAAAGGGCGTTTTGCGATAGATGTCATATAATTGTGTCCTCCATTTAATGCCTTGAACTTGAAAGAGATATGGATAACAAAATTATGTGCAGTGCAAGGCTTGTTGTTTGTACAGGGTGGAAGAATTTGTTACCATTTCAATAAAAAAAAAAAAAAAAAACAATACGAAAGAAGCTCTATGCCTTGTTTTCATTTTCTTTTCTTTACAGCAATCAATTAATTCAATAATTGGGAGAGCTTGAGGCTGATGATTCTTCAACTTATTTATCATTTGAAAAATATTTTGGTGTATAAAATAAAGTTGTTTTTGCCAATGAAGCCGAAGTTTGCTTGTAAGAAGAGGAGTTGTAGATGTTAAAATTTATTCTTTAAATTTATTAAATATCATATTTTAAGGATAATTGCATGAAAATTAAATTTTAATCCAAAATTTCTCAAGAACGTTTTACTTTATTAGGTAAACCAAATGAAAAATTATACTCGATAGATCAAAATGTCCAATTTATCAATATTCAACAGTTAACTAAAACTTGGTTGTTGACTTGTGGTAGATCAAAGTTGTTGTAGTTTAATTTACTGGCTTGCCCACAATCATTGAGAACAAGGGAATAATTCAAGAATAAATTTTAGCAAGAATTTGTAAAATGCTTTTCATGCATTGCAGTTTTAACTGATACACTCCCTTGGTAACTCAGTGAATCTTGCTGTGTCTTTGCAATAGTCATATACCAAATGTTTTCGACGAACCCATTCAAGTTGGTGGCTCCCGTGCCTGTTTAGCCCACTGAAAGATGGCTTGTCCCACCAGAACTGTCCTAATTTGCCACATTTGCCCGTAGAATCGTCTGTTTCTGGCGACAATTCACATGCATCAATAATGAAAGACCGAAAGGTTGAGACGAAGGGAGCATAGCTCCAGTTGGTCTTCACCCTCCCTCCTTGCGTAGCCCAATCATCGGCATTCCACACTGACCCTCGGATGCTCATAGGTTGACTTTTTGGAAAGAGCACCCCATTTTCTTCTTTGTTGGTGAAAACCCGTATGGGAATTCCATCAACAAGAAACCTGTTGAGATTGCAAAAGAATTACAAAAAGGATGAAATTTGAGAGATTAAGAATTGTGTTAGAACTTAAACGTAATAGTCGGTCATTTCTAAGATAATTGGTTACTCAAATTAACATGGTATCATGGCGGATCTAGATTTTTTTTGGATATCCACTTATTAATTCCGTCAATAAAAAAGGTGTCCAAGAGAAATTTATGAGAAAATTTTCTTCAAATTTTTTGATTTTTTTAATCTTTGAAGTGTCCATAATCCTACTAGTAAGATACATAGATCCGCCTCTGGCTATCATTTTTTTTGAGTTTGAATCCAGAAAAACCTTGTCTCTTTGAAAAAAGGTATGCAATTTTTTATTGTTTACTTACACGATAGTGCGGCGATTCCAGAAAAAAGAGTATGTATGGAAATCAAGTGTGGGATCAAACCAAAGAGAATGCCTCTGCTCTCGATTGCCAGTGCCATTGACATAAACATTAGTTTGAACAAGGTAAGGCTCTCCGGATACATTGCCAAGAAATTCAAAGTCCAGTTCGTCATGACTAGGCCCCTCTGATGCCATCTGCCATTTCCCATTGTCAAATTTCTCAAACCATTTTTCAGACCAAATTAATGATACAAGTTCTAAACTATTAATGATTGCGATCTATTTATAACAGTGCAGGACAGTATTTAAATGGTCGTTTAGATGTCTTTGACCATAAATTATTACGCACTTAAAATTTGATTAGTTGCATGTTTTCTGGTAGCTAGTTTATCTTGTTCCTAAAACATGAAAAATCAAGAGTTCGGAGCTTAACTCGGTTAATTTACGTAGTTATCTCAAAAGATTTACCAGATTATCAGATTTGGGGTTTAAATCTTAATACCTGTAACCATGGTCCTTATTTTTAGGTTGCAGCTCCTTCATAAAAAAAAAATGCAAATTAAAAAAAATTATCTTACATAGAAAGCAGTCACAGTTCCAGCCGAGTCTCCTTCAATTAGTTTGATTTGCACACTAGCTTGTCCAAACAAATACTTCTTCCTAGACTCAAATCCACAACCTGTATTCAATATTCCAAATCATTGGCCACACTCGATGAGAACAAAAGAGAAAATGGTCACCAGCCAAAGCAGGAAAAATACCAGTACTAAAGAGAGACAGAGAAGTTGAGAAAGCTTGGCATTACCAGAAATATTGTCCAGAGTTAACTTGGTCTGATCTCCTTCAGAGATAATGTGATCAGGAGCCCAGTTGTACTGGAAGACTTCACTGAAGTTAGCACACATGGCCAAGTCTAAATTCACAGCCAGAAATCTCAGTAGGAATGTTGCTATTGCAAGCATAGAATTTGAAGGCATATTTAGCTAAGGATTTTGACAACAACTCGCAATCCAAAAGCTCAACTCAAAGGAATGAGACAAAGGCATATTATATAGCCCACAGTTGCTCATTGGACCCATGTGAGTCTGACCAATTGACAAGGATTAATTATTTCATCAGAAAGTGAATGATTGTGGGGAACGATTTCATGGCCACATCAGTGGCCACTTTGGAGCGGCGCCACTAACCGGAGTGGGAGAATCCATAAGCTGTTCGCTTAGTAAATGAGAGAATAAAATGAGTTGTCATCAACTTTCTTACTGGTAACCGCACTATAATGGTGTAAATTTAGCATTCCAAAAAAGCCAAATATCATGTTGATTTGCAAAAGTACTTAGCCAAGAAAAGAAAACGAATATCTCCCTAATTGTACAATAATCATTCTTAAATCGAAAAGTGTTTTCCCTCTTCATTTTTTTGTTTTGTCCACATCAAGGCCCATCGTGCTATATTATTATCGGAGGTGGGTAAGAAAAGAAAAATATTCAAAGCCGATCCATGGTCAGTTTGGGTCATATATTGGCCTAGTGTTGAAAACAGCCCCTGCATCACGATTAATGGCTCTCTTTCCAAATTAGTTCTGCTGTGTACATAGAGGCCCATAATCTCATAACGAGTAATAGGCAGGATCCGTTAGACTGTGAGACAGGAGGGACTTCGGTCGCGTCATAATTATGTTTTTTAACTGGATCTTTAAGGGTCTACATGCATGACGTGATGAGAGTTCTCTCATCACGCATCAGTGAAGCTTAAAAGAATGAGGTATTTGTTTATAGATCGTAGTGTGTGTTTGAACATTAAAGAATTGTCCCACCCTGGAGATCCAGCTAGATTCATCGGGTCTCCTTGTTTCTGGAAGGGAATTCAACTGTGTTGTTCCTTTATTGATATGACACTTAGTTTATAAGTTTATATTTGTACCTCTTAGTTTGTAATTTCACCTTAGTTGTAGGATCACATAGACCAGCCTGATTAATTATATTCCGTTCTTATTCCAAAATTCCTAATTAGTAATGAGAAATGGAAAGAGAATTGTTGGAATGGGGATGGAAGAAGAGATGAATGCCTGATGCCTAGAATGGCTAACATAAATAGAGAGAAGAGCCCGCAAAGTTAGCCAAGAAGGCCGCATTTGCATGGAAATTAAACAGACAAACAAGAAATTTACTAGGGTCATGCCAAACGTTTCAAGTGAGTAGGTAAAGTGTTTCAATCACACGCAAGAAAGAACAAGTGGGTATATAAGTTTTTGCGCTGCGTACTTAGTAAGCTGATTTTTGCAGGAAGATGATAATGGTCAGGTGACATTAGCCTTTTGTTACCTCTCGGTTTGATGCTGTTATAGGATCCCATCCAAATGTCACTTTGACACCAAATACAATATACAGATAGTAAAGAGGCCTAGCATGTAAAAGAAGAGCCTGTCAAGAAAGCCAAGAAGACTGCCTGCGAACCAGGTTCTCAAACCTTGGAAGAAGCAGGCAAGTCATTCTTGGCTTTCAAGCAAGACTCTGATCTTCATGTTAGGCCTTTCTTCCTCTCAAATTAATTTTTCATGTATTGTCAATGGCTATACACGGCCTTGAAGTCTCTACTTATTTATAGGTTTTGCACCCGGTGCCAATGATATAGATTAATTAGATTATTCGATGAATTTGTCTTTTTCCTAAATTATTTTATTCCACCCCTTCTAAAATTAATGCATCAATTGCTGCATTTTTAATTCGAGCTATAGGTGTATGTATTCTTGTTTAAAAGCAGAATTCGATTTTTTTTAATAAAGAAATATGAATCCCCATTGCCTAAAACCGATACTTTTATAGGCAGATTTTGTTCTCAATTATTTTACACTAGAAAGGATTTTGTTCCCAAATGACTTTTTTTTTCTTTTATCGATTGTGACATACCAATGTCATGTAAGGAGATCGTGAGAATCTCTTATGTTATATATAGTAGAAATTTAAATCTTTATTTGTATGATATTTTTTATAAGATAAAATCGTAAAATTTTTGAATTAAAACAAATAATATTTTATAAGTTAAATGTAAATTTTCATAAATTGTATTCAAGTGATATATCAATAAAGTCTAAGTGTTATATGAGAGTTACCTTTAGAATATACATATTTTGTGTGATTTTGGTTTTGTAGTTTTATATGTATTTTTTGTTAAATTTGATGAAAGTGTTAAATTTTAATCGTAAAAATTTATAACACTTCATTCTTACATTAAGAGATTTTGAAGATCTAATATTCTTTATATGTAAAAATTTAAATTTAAATTTATGGAATATTTTTTATAAGATAAAATGATAAAATTTTCAAATCAAAATAATTAATACCTTATTTTTATAAGTATGCGTCTCCCCACTGATATCATGCTATCCCATTCATCTTTAAAGCCAGTCAGTATTGGTCTTTACTCTTTAGGTATGTGTTGCAATTCCATGCCTACTTTTTAAAAGAAAAAGTAAGGAATGTATTGATTTTTCTTTTTTTTTTTCTTCATTTTTTCAATTTTCGTTTTGGCCCTGTAATGACGGGGGGCAGGTGGAATGCACCAATTGCGTAAGGAAATTTGAACCTTTTTCCATGCCCATTCTCATCAGGTATATTCCCCTTTAAGGGTGTGGGTTGTACATTGGAATAAAGGTTATCTTTCTGACATAGTTGAGGGATTCAAGCAAGTTGGTTGGACAATATTGTCGGCTATTTCAGCTTGAAGCCTTCGAGATCTTTCCTCTTTCATAAAGGTGATCTCCACTTAAACATTTTGGGAAAGATCAGGAGGAAGCTTGTGCATGCACTGAAGAGATGCGTAGAATATATACCAACATGGGCTGTTTCAGGGTTGTAAATAGCAACGGGGAAATTAAAGTTCTGTGGGCAATAATAAACAATTTTAATTCATCAGCATTCTTTCCATTTGTCTTTACAATTTGAGAATATATGGAAATTCTTTCAAGGACTGATCTATAAATACGGACATGATCGAGAATATAAAATTAGCATATCAGAGAGAATTTGTTTATACATGAAAATGATGAGAAGAAGAAAGGCCTTACATGAAGAAAAGAGTCTTTGTTTGGTAGCCAAGAATGACTTGCCTACGGCTTTAATTTCAAGAGGTTATTGTAAAACCCCTGGTCTGGGTCTGCAGGCAATCACCTTGGCTAAGCTAACAGGTTCTTTTCTCTTATGTTAGGCTTTCTTTTCTTCCTCCATAACGAAAGGTTAATGCTGTTTTTATTTTATTTTATTTTTACAAGAAAGGCCGCAGTATAAGAGATTCGGTAAAGAAAATTATAAGCGCCGGCGATCGAATCCCAGTTTTGCAAAAATAACGAGTGAACCATTTAAATTAAATCCCAAATTCACTAACGCTGATTTTACGTATGGAATTAACATTCCAAGGTTCGGATTGTGCAATTCTTTTTTATCTGTTTCGAGGACGTACAGGGTTTATAGCTAGCATAGCAGAAGCTCCGTACCAAAAACTAAGGGTATAAATAATACATTAATACTGATAAGTTATTCGGGTTTGATTAGAATAAAACTCGAATTCGATTAGATTATTATCAAGTCAAGCTCGAGTAGTTCGACTCATCGATCGAACTGAATTCAAGTATTCTTATACCCGATTTGAGTAGCTCGCAAGCCTAATCGAGCTTTTATATTTAAATATATTTTTATTATTTTAATTAATAAAATATCTCAAATTCGAATTCGAGCTCGAGCACAAATAATCGAACTCTTTTCGAGTATACGAATCAAGCTTATTTTTATATATTAATCGAGCTTAATCGAACGAGCTTTAATAGTTCGATTTCGATCACGAATCAAGCTCGAGTTAGGAAAATAAAACTCGATCGAGTTCGAATCGTGTATCGAACCGCGAGTTGAGAGTGAGTTAAACTCGAGCTTCTCACTATATCGACTTGACTCGACTCGATTACACCCTTATCAGAAATTGCAACAATAAGTTCCCCTTGTCAAGGTAACACATGAAAGCATGTCATATGTTAGAATTTCACTTGGGTTGGGCTCCTGTCCTTTACTTTTAATTACGTTTAAGCATAGTTGTGATTAAACCGAATTAGATACTATCATTTTTCATTTGAATGCATCACTATTAGATAGAAAGTATATAAAACTCAATTAAATGGTATATTTATGGTTAAATAGAAAACTTTTACCAGTAAGTTTTAATTAAAATATATAGCTTTATTATCTCAATATATATATAGCTTTATATTTATATATATTTTTTAATTTTAATAATTGACCAGCAATTAAGTTCTCATTCAAATTGCACACAAATTAAAAACTAAAACACAATGGTGAGCTCATGCCTAATCAATAGTTTTAACCCATGGCAAAGATGGTACTATATTTCTTGGTTAATATATATATATATTTATTTATTTATTTATATTTATATAACCTTTGAACTTTATATGTATATTAGATTTCAAGCTTGCGCTTTGCTTGCAGAAGTAAAATACAATTATGTATTAGTTTAAACATTAAAAAATGTATAATAAAAAAATATATGTATCTATGTTTTTTCATGGGTTCAATTACCTTAAATTGTAGATTATCAGAAGGTTGAAGTGATAATGCAACCACAACAAGCATAAATTATGTCTAAAATGAGCCATACATCCAAATTGACATATCCAATAGACTACTTAGATTTAATTTAGACATGCAATAATAGATATTAGAGAATTGAGGGCATTCAAAACTGTCTATAGCTAATAACATCTCCACAAAGATAAATGCTACAGGTTTTTCCATTATTATGATCTAGACATACTCAAACTTTACTCCTTTTAATACATGCCTATAGTTTGGTTCAGTGTATCTAGAATTTATGTTTTACTAAGATTGATCAAATTAAGCTTTTCAAGTTGAGAATGTTCCAATAGGTATTAGAGAATTAAGTAAGATTCTATTTATCATAATTGAGTTAGATAAGCCATTTATAGAATGTAGCATTTAACAATCTTATTTTTATGTTCAGTTTCTCTCCAAAAATGATTGTATATTGTTTGGAATATTAACCATCAACTGCCTCACATAACAGCAATTTCAGGTCGTATGATCAATTTTAGAATATTGACAATCAAATGCCTCACATAACACCAATTTCAAGTCTTATGATCTATTTTTCTTTCTTTGATATATAAACAGTATAAGTCATTTGAACAAAAGTAATCTATGTTACACATGTAATAATATAAGGAATTGTAAGTGCATTTTATTTTTCTTAAGGCATAATAAACCAGAACCATGAATCCATAATCCATGGATTACCTTTTATCTAGATTGAAACCAAGAGTATTACATAAGAATTAAAGCAATCCATTAATACACAGAAGACAAACAATAAAAGTAAAAAAAAAAAAAAAAAACTTTCTTGCTCTCTTTAATTGACTGAGATTGCTGTTGGTAATTGCTATGGTTTGATTGAAAGCCATTGTTGCTTTGAATATTGGCAATCTCAGGGT